TTCTTAGGGATTAAACTAAAGGGCTCGCTACCGCGATAGCGGCGTCTTAAGCGAGAGCTAATCCTTAGGGTAAAGATAGGTAAATATTATAGCTCTATAAATAGTATACTATAGAGAACTTTAAGAAGCGATTATTAGACTTAGGTAAATATATAAAGGAATAAAGGGAAGAGCTACTTTAGTTCGTTTAGGATTATATATAAGCTCCCGATAAGGCGCGACTTAAAGAACGGCGAGGCGAGCTACTTATAGAAATTTAGGAGCTAGAATGCCTTTATCTTAAGAATAATTAGTAATTAAAAAAGCGCTAATTTATCTAAGTATATATATAATAGTACTTAAACCTTAGATATAATAGTATATAGAGGAACGAAAGCTACTATATTATAGTTAAATAGTCTCTTAATAGGTAGCTTCCCTTATAGGCATCCTATTAAAAACTAGCTAAAAGCTTAAAGAAATTAACTTAAAAAATTACTAAAGATAAGGATTAAAGTAAGGTAAACGTCCTAAGGCTATTAGACCGAGCTACTTTCTACCTTCTTATTAAGAAGGTTCTATACTATATTCTAAGTAAGCTAGCTCTAAAGTAAGAGGTAGTAAAAGCTCTAAGATAGAGGTAAAATACTAAGCTTAAGAAAGAGCGTAAAGTATTAGGCCTTCTTAACGAACCTAGATATCCCTTTACGTATAAGTTCCTACTTAGATATAGCCTACCCTATCGATACTAGCTATACGAGGCTATTATTAGGTCCTAGCCTATCCTACTTAATATCCTTTATCTACGCTAATTACTCGATAGACCTATAGTAGTATATAGCTAGACTATATCTTATATAAAGTAGCTAGCTCCTAAGGTTATAAAAAATCTAGGGGATCGTTACTAAGATAGCGGTAGGAATATAGTTCTTTAATTAGGATTAAAGGTCGTTTAAGTATAAGGGAGCCTCGGCGGATAGTAGGTAGAGGAGTTCTTAAGACTCTTTCGCTTATAGAATAACCGTTTAATAGTAGATTTCTAGGCGTAGGTATAGTTAAGAGCCCTCCTACCTCCGGAATTACTAGAAGTACTATATTCGCCTAGCTTAAAGAGGTTTAAATCGCATAGTAGCACGAAAAGGCAATCTATAACCGGCCGTAAGGCCGTAGAGTATACTGCCGCTCGAGCGGACCGAGCTACTTCGGATTTGCTAAAGGGAGTTAATTAGCTTCCTAACCCTTCCTCGACCCCGTCCTCTCCTTTAGCAACTTCGCTATAGCTTCTTCGGGAAACGAGATATAGTTAAACATAGAGCACGAAGGATATAGAGAAGGCAACGACTACTACTAGGAAGTCTCTAGATAGAGCGGGAAAGGCCTAAAAGGGTAAGGAACCCGATATACCTAAGCCGCGGTGTAAGAAGCGGAAGGCTTCTAAGGAGGATAAAACGCAGTTAGAACTATAGCAGCGGCCTACCTAGGATTATATACTAGTGGATTTCCCTTTAGACTGAAAAATGGCACTTATGCCCGTTTAGGTTATAGTCAAGGCGCGATAGCTTTTAACCTATGCTTAGCGCGATAATCCCTACAATATGTCTGTCCGAACCTGTCTGTCCGGAGCCATCCCACTAGGTCGTTAACCCGTTTTCACGACAAAAACAACGATTTAGCAATGGCTGTGATCGGAGGAGAGTTAGGCTTCGATGAACGTAAGCGCAGAGGCCGATGCTTTGGCCATATACTCAACCTCTGTCAAAGCATTGCTTTTTGGCTCCGATCCAGAGGCATTTGAGAATCAGCTTTCCGGCGCAGCAGCGTTATCTGAAACAGAACACGACCTTTAGAGGAGGAGAGGGCCAGTCGGGAAGCTTCACAACCTCGTTGTTGACATCAACAGATCTGATGTGCTGACTTACCTTCTTCGAGCTGTTCAGCAGGCTGATATTGACCAATCTATCGATCCGAGAGTTCGAGCGCGGAAGCCTCTAAACATCGTCGTTGATAACGATACCAGATGACTGTCCCAGTTCTACATGATCCGCCGCGCAATCAAGCTCCGTCACTACCTTGATGTGATGATTCTTAAACACAAACAAGCTTGGGAGCAGGACAACAGGTCGAAAAAGACGGGCCATATTCGGAGGTCGGCTGTTCAACCGCGGATTTGCCTATCCGAAAACCAGCTTTCAGACAGGGACTGGGACGTCCTCGAACACCTCGCTACAATTCTTAGATTCTACGAAGTCACCGTCAAAACACTTGAGGGAGACGGCATTCAACGCAAACGGAAGGTCTGAATTCGAATTAGATACCAACGTTGAGAGACAGAGATGTCGGCATCGTGGACTTAGCGGACCGAGGCCCAGACGCCGTCCATTATAATACAGCGGGCAGGGCCAGGATAACAGCGCCGTAGCCGCCGCTGAGAGCGCTGTAGCGAATAGGCATGGCGGCTGGGAGGCCCGAATCAGCGACTCGATTAGCCGGGGGGGTCGATATCCGCGAATATCCACGGCGGGGTCGCTCCCGTGGGCGTGGATATCCCAGGAATGGTTGGCTGGCGGGGCCGCTGATTTTTCGGCGACGATATATAAGCGGGACAAGTTAACGTAAGATGCGAGTAAGACGACTACCCCGTCTATAGCGATGCTCTCCGATTCGAGATCGAGAAGCCGCAGCAATCTTATTTCTGCTAGTTCCAACCAGCGATCAAGACGTATTAGCCGGGTATTGTATTTTTATAGTCACTATAGGTTATGGCACCCTAGTCAACGGTCGTGGGAAGGTAATATTTAGTTTAGGAGGGCAATTATTAGCTAGGAAACAGCGCTGCAATTATATAGCTTTAAGGGTGTGTCAAGCCACGAAGTAATAAAAGTACCTAGAATTAAAAGGGATGTTGCCAATCTTCTGTTTCTAATCCTTACATAGCCGCAACTTTGCAGCTGCTCTGCTATAGGCATAAAAGGACCTGGGCTGCCACTCTGGCTCCTTCTCATTGACCCCTACCCATTTTCCTCAATTATTTAGAAGCTATACGCGATCCGAATCCCGACATCTAGAATTTCTTGGTCGTTTTCCTAAGCTCCTGCCGCTTTACCGTAAGTAGCGCCTAAGGCCCTAAGTCGACCATCGGTTTATTCCCACCCTTAATCTGCTAATTAAACCACACTACAAATAACAACCCAACACATACCAAGACTACATTAAATTCGTGTGCCCAAAAGCCTTACGTAGTTACTACCAAGACCGACCGCTGCGCGTCGTATGCCTTTACGCCCAAGACATAACATTGCATCTTATAGTACATAGGCGGGGAGTGCCAGGCGGTAAGCAGCGCCGACCTTTATAAAGGCCGTGCCTTATTCGTCGCCGTCTTACAAGACTTGGTCGGCGCTGCTGCACAGTGCTATGTTCTGGCATATTAGCAATAGTAGAGATAGATGCAACACCAGTACTCGTAAATAGTTAATAGAAAGTCGTGCTAGGGATCGAGCAAGCATAGGAGGAGGGTAAGTAGAGGGGCAGCTCTTAGCACCACCAGATCGTATTATGTACGAGTATGGCACGGGCCTGGCAGAGGATTCGCATCCATACGTCCCAACGCGCGGCCGCACTGCTCCATGCGGCCAAGCGCGCCCTAGGGCTAAGCCGCGGCGCCGGCACCCCGCTGCTGCGCTACAGGGAGCGCTGGCTCCCCGACGGCGGTGTTTGCTAGGCGGCCTGTTGGTAGGCACATAGGGCACCGGCGCCCCAAGTCGGGGCGTCAAGCGCTGGAGCATGCCGCCCGAGGCCCCCGAAAGCGTCCCGAGGCAGCGTCATGCCCCGGCTAACATTAGAGCCCAGGCCGCGCCCGCTCTACTACTGCGTATGCTCTCCTCCGGTCGTTTTACCCCCCCGGCGCTTCGGCCGTCACTTAGCAGGCTTCTGCGCGCGTGCGAATCGGGGGCTATGAGACTGCCGCCAGCCGGCTGTCAACCAGGTGCTTGCCGCAGTCTCCCGCGCGGGTGCGAAGAGCTGCCAGTTTCGTTATATAGTGACGGACAGGGTGTGATGCGCAACGGGGCCTAGAGAGGTTGCCGTGCGAGCCCCACTCTCTCCGACTCCAGCCGGCCTAACCTACTCGACCGGCCGTGCTATCCCGCATCTTATTACTACGAGTTTCGCGTCTCGTATTCCGCATTAAATGCCACCGTCTCTTCCCCTCGGCTCGACCATAGAACGTTACCTTATCGCCCGGCCGCATGCTCGTCGCTATTTAAAATTCTAGACAAGCCATGTCCGCTGCAGCGCTTACGCCGTCTTTGCTCGAGGGGCCCGGAGCACTCCAGACTTCCGTACGAGCTATCCCAGTTCTATTCATATTCAAACAACTAGGTAAACTAAGAAAGCATAGTTTTTACTACAATCAGATCGACCTCGGACAGGGCGGGGTACCCTAAACGCCGATCTAACTCCGTCTACTACTCCGTAGACCTATCTATTAATGCCCGCTTCCGACGCCATCAATGCAATATAAAGGGCCCGGCCTACATAGCATATTTAGGTAGCGTGCGGCCAACTTAGCAGATTGCCGCCGAACCCTGCACGATAATAGCATCCTACGCAGAAATACCTCACGCTAGCCGAGATACGTCAAGGCCGTGGCCCATCATAGGCCCCTCCTTAGGTCAGGTAGTTAATAGAAAAGTCGATGCAGGTATATATAGTGCCGTCTGCGCTGCACGGCGACCTTATCTGCTAGTGATCTCGCCGCAACGAGCAAGTCCTCTATTATATCGCTTATAAGGCTTCGTCACGCTCTTATCGCCGCTAACTTGATGCCGTTTAGCCTCGTTAGCGGCTCTCCTCTTTTAGCACCGGCGGCTTCGACTGCCGTGTCTGCCAATACTGCCGTACCCCCGGCCTCCAACGCTAGCGACAGCGTCCGCATCGAGTAGGACGAATAAAAGGCCGAGTCTAGGTCGACGCTAACGCTCCTATTTATCGTTAACTTAGAGCTACTCTCTAACACGAGCATGCCCGACAAGGCCTTTAAGTCGCTGCAAAAGGTCGGCTCCGACTATACTAGGTTCCTCGCCTAGTACCCCTATCCGAAGCTGTCCGTCCTCGCGCTCGAGCCGCCGAAAATAACAGAAACAAGTTGCACCACCAGCTAGAACTTTACCTACGCCGACCAGCTGCTGGGCGACTACCTAAAGAGCACGCCCGGCAAGGTGCACAGCGTTAGCTTCAGCACCACCCCCGACTGGATATAGGCCGGCGGCAAGAACATATATCCCGCCGACGTCAACAAGATCGACTTTACGTACAACAGCGGCACCAAGCTCCGCGATGCTACTATAAAGGAGGCCGCCGACTACTACCGGCGTGTCGTCGACTGGTACGTCAACGGCGGCTTCACCGACGAGTGCGGCGTCTACCACCACTCTAGCCACCACTAGCCCATCGAGCTATAGGAGGTGCTTAACGAGCCCGAGCTCGAGCACCGCTTTATACTAGAGTACTATAACTAGTTCTACGACGCCGTAACGGCCGCCGTTCGCGAGGTCGCGCCGCAGATAAAGTTTATCGGCGGCGGCCTTATCAACGAGACGATCGAGTAGGTCGAGGCCTTTATGGACCCAGCTCGCCACGTACCCGGCACCGCCCTCGACTAGCTTAGCTACTACCACTACGGCTGGCCTGACCCAAAGGACACCGACGAGCAGAAGTAGGCGACGTCGAGCTTCGAGCAGATAGACGCCTTTATCGCCTAGGTCGGCAAGATCAACGAGGTGCGCGCGCGCCTAAACCCGGACATACGCATCGGCTTCGGCGAGGTCGGCACCATCCTCTAGAAGGCGGCCATCTCGGTCGTGCCCGGCTACGTTATCTCGGACGCGTACTAGACCTAGAGCGCCGCCGTCTTCGCCTACGTCTTCGCCAAGGCCTCGGCCATAGGCATCGACGCTATCGCCGAGAGCTAGCTCCACGGATACCCGGGCCAGTTCGAGTCCGTGTCCATAGTCGACTACCGGACCGGCGAGCCCAACGCGCGCTTCCGCGTTCTCGAGATGCTCCAGCAAAACTTCCAGGCCGGCGACAGCCTCCTCGCCACCGCCGTCGCCGACGACAAGGCCTACTACGCCCAGGCATACCGCACCGTCGACGGCCGGAGAAAGCTACTGCTCATTAATAAGACGGCCTAGAGCCATAGGCTCACCGTCGCGGGCTTCGACCAGGGCCAGGCGCAAATCTGCGACCTCGCCTCGGGCCATAAGCCCTATCGGACGGAAACCGTGCGGGGCAACGAGCTAACGCTGCCGCCCTTTGCCACCGTCGTCCTTATTGCCAGCTGCTAACTCTTGTCTCGGGGGCTATTTTTCGTGGGTTGACTAATGCTATATAAAGTCGAGCAATCTATTAATATAATATAAGCTGGTTAGCAATAAGCTATAGTTTTAGATAGATGCGCGTGCACAACGAGGCATTATATGCTAAAAAGGTAGCATTATTAGATATATATATAAAGGTGCATTTAGTACGTATTTCGATAAATGTTTATAAAAAAAATTCGGTAGCTTCTCTTTAATTAAGCGTGTTATCCTTAGTATAGGGGCCATGCTAATCTTCTCTACTAAGAAGTTAAGTTAGCCCCTACTTCCCGGCCCCCCGTACTTTCCGGCCCCCTATTTCCTACCTATATTAATGCAAAGCTTTTTTTTATAACCGCGTTTTCTCGCGTAATTTAATCGATTTTTCGGGAAAAGCCATCCCTAGCCTATTAAATAGCTAGAAAAGCTAAATATACGGAAGAAACGCTCTAGTTAGCTATATTGGCTGTTAAAAACGGGCTATCGCAATACTAAGCTGTCGCACAGTATGGAATTCCACGCGCAACGCTCTAAGATCGATTACGCGGCTACCTTTCGAGAAAAGAAGCTTTTACCTAATTATAAAGGCTTTTAAAGGATTAAGAAAAGCACCTTCGCGATTAGGTTATTATCTAAGGCGCGTTAGGGCTACCACCGTTACATTAATAATTAAAGGTCTTTATAACCTAGATTATTATTATAAGAGGGGATCTTTAACCTCTCGGTAAGAACTAGATTAATAGCTTTTTACGCCGTAACCTAGAAGTTAGAACTATATAAGGCAAAAGATCGGTGATAGCGGTGACCCTTAAGGAAGGCTTGCTTAAGGCAGCTCCCGTTATTCCGACATATACCTATTAACTACTAACGAGGCTATTCGCCTAGAATAAAACGCATCTATCTATCTTACTAGTTCGGCTAGTATCCCTCTCGCTTTTATCCTCTCGAGCAGTCTATCCTTATAAACTCTATTATAGGCGCCCTTAACGTTAAAACTAATTAGGCTAAGTACCTTTTAGTTACGCTAAGCCTTATAAACTTATTCCTATAGTAGTAATAGCGCTTGCTTAGTAGATCGTCGCTTTCTTACTCTAAAGTAGTTCGTAGGTAGAAGACTATAGGTCTCTATAGTATATAAGATACGCTCGGCTACGACCGCTTTAAGTATCTTACTAAACGTCGATAAAAGTAAGATTAGTCGCTATACCTTAGCTAGCGTATAGTCGTCTTTATATAGCTTCTTTAGTAGGATAATTTTCGCGCTTTTCTATTAGCGAGGTATAACGCTATCTTAGAGAGATATATCGAAGAGAGTAAATATCCGATCCTTTATTACTAGCTAGAGTTATCTTTATACCGCTATTAGAAGCTTATCTTCTTTAAGTGCTTTCTATAGTTTCGCTACTATAACCTTTTCCTCGATCTCTCCTAATATTAGTCCGGGCATAGGCACCGCTTTCTACTATAGTCGCACCCCCTTATCCTCGATTCTCGTAGGCAAGGGTAGAAAGAAGGTAATAAGTAGCTCGTCTACCTAGTTTACTTTATCCTCGGTCGTCGATCTATCCCCTTTCCTTAAAGGTAGCACCTTATCGCCCGTAGTGCTCTTACCGGCTTTAAGATATTTAGTTGCCTTCTAGATATTAGCATCGTTAGAGAGGAAGTTATCCTAATATATCTTCCTCTAGTATCGAATAGTATCGTAGAACTCTTTTACCGCTTCTTTAGCCCGCTATTTAAGTTCTAGTCGCGGTTAGCCTCCTCGTCGTTGCGTTCTCGCTTAGTTTCGCTAGAACGTATATATCCGCCGAAGTTATATAAGATCCTTAGTCTACTAACGTTTTATATATAGTAACGGCTATGCCTAAGGCGTTAGTTTATAGATAGCCTTTAGGACGATCTATATTAGTTAATCTATCTAGGTTTAAACGTCGATAGCCTAAGGTAAGAGTCGTAGATTATCTTTTACCTAGGCTTATATAAGATTCTAAGGGGCATTCTTAAATAGGAGTCTTAGCCTCGCCCTTCCCTTAGGCATCGTAATATTAAACGTCGTCTAAATAGCTTTATAGTCTAAGCTATAATCGGTCGGATAGATAGTATATATTACTACTTTATCTATTAACTCTAACGATATTAATACTAAATTAATAGTGCTCTCTTAATCCTTACGTTGCTATGTTTTTATGCCCCTTAAGAGTAAGCTCTTAAGGCTATACTGGTTTATTAGATTAATAATCAGCCCTACTTCTCCTTATCTCTAAACCGAAATATTATCTCCTTCTTAGAGTAGGTTATAAGAGTTAAAGTCTCTAGCTAATACTATATCTATATATATACTAAAGCCTTAATAGAATCTTTAAATTAAGTTATATAATAGCCTAGTAGTGCTTTTTAGCGCTTTTATACTTTGCCCTTTTACGTAAACTAATACTACTAAGACGCTCCTCTTTAGTAGTTAAAGCACTACTACTATAAGATCCGCTAATAGTATTAGTATCTATACTACTTCGACGTTATCTTATACCTAAAGTATACTATAGATCGGCTAAGGGCCGTCGCTTATATATATTAGTAATATTCTTATCTAGTTACTATATATCCTAGGGCTTATTACTACCTAGCTATCGATTATCCTAGCGTATAGTTTAAAGACCGCTAGTACTTTATAATCCTTAAGGTCCTTATCGTTTATTAAACTCTACTATACTAGTTCCCGTTTTCGTATATTAAGCTATAGAATACTTAGTATCTTATATATTAAAGTAGATATTTTATATATAGTAGTTCCGGCTAAACGACTTATATAGTCCGCTATATAAGATATATCTAGGCTCTATTATATAATACTCCCTATAGTAATAACCCGCACTAGTATACCTTCTATATACCTAAGGCTTACTATACTTAAAGGCTTTATAGCCTATATATTAATAGTTAAAGCACTATATCGGTCCCTTATAGGGTTTAAAGGGATTAATATACGCTAACTCTCTAGCTAGATCGAAGTACTTACTATTTAAAAGCTTCTTTATATCGTTCTTTTTCGTTATATAGACTATTATAGACCTATATACTTTACTCCTTTCTTTATTACTTAGCTAGGTAATCTTACCGATTAAGATATTATTTTCGATATTAAGAGCCTTAGCCGTACCTTATAGGATATTGCCTTCTCTATTAAGGATCGCGGTATAATTAATATTATCGACTTTAACTAAGTAAAGCTAATCTTTTATTACTCGAGCTCTAGTTACCGCCGTTTTCTATATAGCTTCCTTAATTCGTTATAGCTCGATTTTATCTCTATAAATAACCTTAACTTACTTTATATTTCGAGAGTTCCTTATAACTATTATATACTTTTAGTTTACCTAACCTTCCTTTATTCTAACCTTATTTTTAATAGCTTACTAAATCGAGCTTATCTATACTTAGCCTCTATCTTATTCCTTTACTTAGGATATATTAATTATATAGAAAAACTTATTCGCGGTAGGTTCTATAGTATTACTAGGCGAGAGCGATAGGGTAATGCTCTATTATAGCGACGGCGATAATCGCGTAACCTTAGCGAACGTTTTAAGTAGGGTAACCGCTACGCTAGCAACAATAGCTTTAAGTTACTTTTAGACCTACTTAAGTTAGTTATTTATCTACTACTTTATATCTTCTAGATAAATACTAAGCTCTCGGCTAATAGTTCCTTACTTTTCTATTTCTTCTTTCTATTTTTAGATTATCTCTTACTACTTATAGATAATCTTATTTTGCTCTTTAAGTATCTCTTTTAATCCTTAGAATTCTATATAATACTTATTTAGTAGCTCCTAAACCTTCTTAATTATCGCTACTTCTTCTTAACTACTATTAATATTTTTATTTCCTAGTAGTCTCGCGTATTTAATTTTACCTATTTCCTTTCTTATCGCTCTTATTATATATCGGCTGCTTTTATTTAACTCTTTTACTATCCTATTAAGTAGCTTATATTTTACGATTCTGCTTCTAGTCGGCGACGACGAGGGGCCGCGCGGCCCTACCCTAGGCCCCGTATTTACTAGCATGCTTATACTACCGACTCGACTACTATATAGCTTTTCCGATTTAATAAAGAGATAATAATTTAAGCTTCTAAGCTTTTAATCTAGGTTCGCTCTCCCCGTAATATCGGTCGCGTAACGTAGTATAAGTCCGGCGGGTTATAGGATCCGGTAGATTACCGGTAAATCCCTTATATACGCTATAGGTAATATAGCTAACGATATAGTTTAGCTATAGGCTAACTTAATATTAATCGGATAAGTTTTCCTAATATAAGGGTTTAATCTAGATAGGGATTATAAGTTTTTCTAGATCTAATTAGTTTAGATTTTATATAGTCGAATATAAAATAAGGCGTAACTAGATAACGCTGCTTAAAAAGTAGAGCCTAATTATCTAGCAGCCCCTAAGTTATAGAGCAGCTCCTAAGTTATTCTATTTTACTTTATATAGGAACTTTATTTACGTAATACCTCGTTACGTCTTTTATAATAAAATAAGTTCTAGGTCTACTTATTTATAAGTTTAAGATTATTTAACTTCTATTATCTATGCCCGCTATAGCGAGAAGAAACCGACGGCGACTTCGTATATAAACGAAAATCTACTAGTAATACTAAGAACTACCTAGACTGCTATAACTAGCATAACTCTTATATCGGCTCCGTCTCCTATACTATAAGACATTTACCGCTAACTAAGTAAAGCGTTCTAGATCTAGGTATACGATCTAAATATTAAAGAACCTTACTATCGGCCCTTCCTTAAATAATAGTTCGTCCTACTCTAAA